AAAAAAAAAAAAAGAAGAGCATTTTTGTTCTTTTCACTAATTTAACTATAAACTTGTGACACTAATATAACAATTTATTGCTTAGGAAGTGATGTTGACAAATGGAAAAAATCAGAGAGAAATCTTTTTTTAAGTTCTTAACGTCAAAAAAGAAAAAAAAAAGATAGGCTAAAAAATGCTTGAATAATTTTGCTGCTTCATCGGGCAAGTAGTCTGTAGTGGAAAGATCGTAAGTTTGATATCAAAATTATAGTTAAAAACTTAGTTTTCGATATATTTTTGCTTCAATGAACCTAAACAATTTTCTTCCGCTGACTGGTCATACAATTTTCTAATTTAGAAAAGTTTTGGCATAGATAATTTTTTAAAAAGCTAAACTTTTTTTTTTTTTTTTCAAAGCAGACCGTTGCAGTAAAAATTTTATATGCAAACTCTTGTCGAAAAAGAAATTTATATTTTAAAATTGTAAAATGAAAATTATACCGTTTTGTATGAAAATTATGAGTTAATTTAATAAACTTTTTATAGTGGGATATGATAAACTATGTGTAACAAAAACACAGGAAAATGAATGACAGGTAAACAGATAAAAAATAAACAAAATAAATGAAGAAGTAAACGAATAAAGAAATATATTTGTTAATATTTTTAGCCAATTGGAGTTTGGATGGAAAAAGGTTGTAGCATGCATCTGTTGGCCAATATTATTCTGACTATATGCGGATATATTCCTGGTTTGATACATGCGATTATCATTATCTGCTATTATTGATGCTTTAATTGTGCTCAGTTTTTTGGAAATCGTCGGCAGAACTTCTCTGGAATAAACTTTCATCACACTACCGTTTGTTAGGAAAAAATAAGCAGTTTTTTTTGTCTTTGATTGATTGTTGAATTTTTATTCCTTCGTTGTTTTTTTTTTTTTGTATATGTATTTGTGTTTGTGTACAGTTTGAAAATGAGTGTATATTATTATGCAATGAAATAATTTTTGCGCAGTAAGAATAAAATTAAAAAGTATTTATTTACTCGCTTTTCATTAAATGTTGTTGTAACCAAAATTTTTTTCGTTATTGATAAAAAAAGTTTCTGTTAAAAATAATAAAGCATTTTCAGTTTTGGTGGAATCATTTTACTTTTAGCCAATGGCACCACTAAACAGTAATCGTAATAGGTGTTGCTTTGCAGAAAGCACTGAAATCAACGTCTGAGAATGATGTCAGGGCTACAACAAACATTAAATAAATAATGAAAGCTAGGATTAAATTAATGAAATATAAATCAGAATTAATAATTGCTAAAGGAAGTAGCAAAATAAAACGGTACATATTTTATTTCACAAACTCGTATTATAAATGACCGCATCAAATTAAAAAAAAAAAACGGGAGTTCGAAATCATTGAAATAAGCTTGGGGCTTAAGCTCTGTAGAATCTACCGCCAAAAATAATATTTGTAGTTAGATAATCAAGTAAAATTTTTCAGCTATTTCCATTAAAAAACAAAATTGTATATAAGAACTGATTTCCCGGACAACCATTTAACTTGGTTTATACCACTTACAATCTACGGTTCATTGTCAACATAATACCGCCTTCAGAAAGTCTCTTAAAAAAAACATCTAATTTCTTGAATTGTGCATATATTCATAACCCAGTTACAATAATAAAGGTAGTAGAGGCTCACTCAGTCCAAAATCACTGTTTCTTCTTAGACAGAGAAACTAGTGAATAGTAGTTGTAATATTCGTACATTTGTTTTATTACGAACAAAAAAAAAAAAAACAATTACTGGCCACTAAGTTGAAACAAGTTCAACCGGTATTTATTTCCTAAAAAAATTAAATAAAAAAGTTTCTTATTTTGTTTATTTGAGGGAGTTACATGTGTCGGCAAAATCTCATTTTTCAGCCTCGATAAACCTCGGCCAATTTTTCTGCTGCTATTTGACTAAAACATCACAGTCAAAAAAAACTTCGATGACTGCTAGATGTATTAATCGTACTACATTATTTGCAGTAATTATAGTTGCTGCTTACGTAATCCACTTTTTGTGGTCATTACAAAATTAAGTCTTGAAATAAAAGAAGCCAAAGGTGAAACGACGAAGATTTTGCAGGGGAAAGGAAGAGAAGTAAAGATAAACTACGTGACTCAACAAGGATGACCCGCACTATAGCTGTAATAAAACAGAGAAAAATTTTTGAAGTTTGTACCTAAAATTAGGAAATTCTTTGCTCTCGAGAAGTTCTAAAAAAATGGTTATGTAGGGAAATCGGTCAATAATGTTTCTGCTGAATGATAGAACAGATCGCAGTTTGTATTTTTAGGTTTTATGACTTTTATAGCTAAATTTGGAAAAGTAAATTAACTAACTTGACTTTTTTCAAGGCTTACTCAAAGTCGGTGGGTGTTATGCTGACAATGAACCATATACTGTAAGTGATATGAACCGAGTTAATTGGTTGTCCGGAAAGTTGATTTTTCTATGCTACTTTGTTTTCAGTAAAACTAGCTGTAAAATTTCATCTAATTATCTTACCACACATATAAATTTTAGCAGTGAACTTTACAGGGCTTAAACTTCAATCTCGAATTAATTCTGAACCCTTAATTTTGTTTTTAAAGCGACACAATCATTTACAGTACTGTGCTTGAAGCGTTGAGAATCTTAAATATGAAAAGACCAAAACTAAAACGAAATACAATTTGATTTAAAATATAATTCCAAAATTTAAGAACAGTATTGAGTAATGCAAATGTTCTCAGATGTCACTTTTAAATTATATGAGCTTTTAAATTAAAATTTGTACCGTTTTTATTCCGTATTTTTTATTACTAAATTTGATTTTACTTCATTAGTTTATTTCTAGGCTTCAATGTGTATTTGAGGTTCATTTTAGCTCTGTTATCATTCTGAGACTTTCATACCAGTGCTCTCTAAAAGTACCCCAAAGTTCACTTGTGTTGTGACTGCAGACAAAATTCTAAAATTTGAAGAGTCGCCTCGTCAGCTTTTTTCCTATAATGTCCTTTCCACTACTTTCTCTACTGTAAGCTCAACCAGTCCTTGAACCTACAGCACCAACCTATAGCTACCTTAGTACCTCACTTCTCGCTCAAGACTTCTTCTAGTCCTCATTCCTCTATGTACCGTCTCACCTTAATTTGATGCCAACTCTAGTGTTTAGGAAGAATGCTACTCAGTTGTAGTATATCTACCTAAGCCTATTAACAGGAGGAGATATTAAAATTACTATGCATGCGCTATTACTCTTACTACTAAATAGTTTATTACTTATAAACCATATGATACAACAAATAATAGATACTAACTGAAGCGATTCAAATCTTATTATACACAACAAGGTGATATAACAAGTAAAGAATTCTCTATAAAGAAAGAGTAATAAAGACACGACGAACTGCCTATGGGCACGCAACAAGAGAGAAAAGGACATGAAAATCCGCCAACAATCAATAAGGCTTGATTGCAATGAAAAACTGACTCTAGCTAGTTGTCACTCTTTATTTATACCTATCCCCCCCCGTTGATACGACCGTGGTAGTGTGCTCCTCCAAGAGCGTCCCTTCAGAGGACATAGTCTCGTCGGTCACTTATTGTAATATGTGCCGTTTCGCGTATGGTCGCGACAACTTGATGAAACTGTGCTCTGCTAGTTCTGCACAAGTAAGCTTAGTTATGTTCATAACCATGAAAATTATTTCCCACTCCTCCCATTGGTTGGAACGAAACAGAGCCTTATTTATTACAATTACTGTTCGTTTGTGTCATTGGCTGAAAAGAAAATGGTATCACCCAGACTGAAAAAGCTTCACTATCTTTAATGAAAGCGTTTATTTCAAATAATGCAAAAAAATTTGATTGTAGGAGCATTAACTTTATCTCTCGGTCCTCAGCTTTCAGAAATAAAATTGAATTTTCAAGATGGCGGAGGGACACTGCGAAAGTTTTTCTCAAAATCGCCAGGAAGTAATGCTGGCTGCAGGCCTATCTAGGGCTATTTAAGCAAAATGCAGTAAGTGTTTGGTGTGCTTCTTTCGAAATGCTTCCTTCGGTGCAACCATAGGTCCTTCCTTTCGCTGCAAAGCGATTCATTGTGAGTACCTTTCGATAGTCTTTATTTACCGGTTGCTTTCGTGCATCTTCTCGCTGACGCGAAGAAGAAATTGCGTTAAAGATATCAGTGTTTTCGTTGTTTTGGTTGAAGGTTGTCGTGTGAAATCGTTCGTTTATTGACTGCGTAATTTGCTGCTTTATTACTTATTCATATTTGACATTCTATAGACCTGTGACGTAACTCACGGATTGACAGGTCAGTGATTTATAAAGTTGTATATGGAGGTTAATAAAGTTATACTATTTTTTAAGTGTTGAGGCAAGAGATAAGTGAGAATAAGCCTAGGATAGGCATAGACTATTTAAATAAAAAATTTTAGAGAAGTTACTAGGTAACTCATACAGTTGAGAAGGTCAAAGAGAGTGACTTTCCTAATCAATTTTTATAGTTGTTAATTAAATAATTTCTCAACAGCAACATTAATCGTCGGTGCAGTCCGATCATCATTGATATTTTTTTCTAAACAAATACAATCTGCTTCATCGATATCACTCCTAAGTACATTCGGCTTCATCCTGCTTCTGTAAATTTTAGTACTAGACGTTCCTGTTTCCAGTATTATTTCTAGCCCAATCGACCAGTACATGATGGATGCCCGTCTCAGGTCTTCCTACCTTGGTATTCCTGAAGCACTTGTTCCTAAGGCATTGGTAGATAGTACCGCAACTCTTCGTCCTGTAAATTTCTTCAAACTTTAGTCTTTCTGTTGCGGATGCGATGTATTTCAAAGTAAAACTTATATTTTCTTTTCGAGCATCTAGCGTCAGGGAAGGGAAAACTTTAATCGGAAAACTGTATTGGCGGGGAGTAGACTAGTTTTTACGTTTTGTAATGGAAGACTTTCTGAGGATATAAGGGCGAACAGTAGAGTCGTTTCTGAGTAATTTTCGTTTTGTACAACGTCCAAAATGGAGATTTTTTTTCTTTTCTTCCTCGTAGCAGATATTCGGAGAAGTTGATCTTTCTGAGTTGCAGCAGGATTAAAATTTTTTTTTTGTTTTTTTCTATTTCGGTGGTTGTTTCCTACATTATTTCCTCCGACTTTATTAATCCATTTTTTATTTCAAAATAAAATTTAATCTTTCGACTTGCTTAATCGTAACCCAAGCGCACAAGCACATTCCTTTAGACAAGCTATACTGAATAAGTGCCTAATGTAGCTTTAGTTGAATGATATGTTTTTCATTCTATAAACTCCTAGCTCGTAATCTTATTACTTCAGCTTCCAAGACTCTTCACAATTCTCACACAGTCCCAAGCCATACACTATCATCATAAATTCTTCTTGCTTTTCTAGTCCTTTTTCAGTTATAATAATCGTGTTTAAGTGAATCATGACAAAATTTACCATCGCTAAAAAATTAAGTGATTTCTCTCTTGCTGCACTCGAAATTTTCAGCTTGAACTACTGCTCTCAGAGTTCTTTGATGGAAACTGGATTGATGAACACCGTTTTATGAATCGGCATATTTCAAGCCATATCTTGTATATCCTTCACTTCTTACCACCTCACTCTTATTGTAATAAATGAGTCTAATGGGTCTATTAACTCACTGACTTTAATTTGCATAATTACCTGAGCAGTCCGAATAACTTGCTTATTCCCTGGGTTATCTGTGTCTTAGATGGGAGCTGCAAAACTGCGATGTACTTTTGAGGCGATACAGAAAAGTTGCTTCTCAAGCACTGTACCTCCGGTCCAAGTGAGATGTTGCGGAACTTTTCTTTCGTTTTGCAGTATTTCATTTGAGAGTTGAGAGCAACTTTTCCAACAGTTATCAAAGTGAAACCTGGCGCAGAATTTACTTTTCCAAGTTCTTTTTTCGGTTCTCTGTACATTGGCTTGGGCTTTACCAGTTATGAAAGTTTTAAAAAATTTTCAAGATATTGGGTGGAAAAAGTTTGTGAACTGCAGTGAAAAAGCCCATATACAACTAGGTATATTTTTAATGTCATATTTAAAATGAAACAACATGTAAACGTTAAAAAATGAATACTTTATCTACAAAATTTACCAGCTACAAAGTTGTTAAAATAACTACTTATTTTTTTATTTTCCACTTTTACAGCCAATTTGTTTGAAAGCGTAAGCACTTTTACTAACTGTACGTTTACAGCGAAAAAACCAACTAGGTTTTGTTGAAGTAAATCACGTTTGTTTATTTGCAATCATCAGTTTCTTCTGTATTCTAACTTTTGAAGTCCTAAAATCATATAATGACTGTTCGCCACATAGTTTTCTTCTGAATATGCTTGTATCAAATCAAAAAATAGAGATGGGACATTTTGTATGCCGTATATTGAACAAAATGCCACTCAAAATAAATAAGGGAACACCTTACTTAACAAACATTCACAGTTAACAGTTACTTGCTCATTTTTTATCGTCAGAACTTTCTTGCGTTAGACAAAGTACAATATGTGACTTTGATGAGTGGGTTTGGTCTCTAAACAGCGCTAGTTTTTCCAAAATTTTTTGAAACATTATTTTCAATCTGTAGAGGTTTGTAAGTCGTTTTCAGTGCTTATCTCATCTGTCCTTTTTTGACTACTTCTAGTAAACTGTCATTGTTAACATGTGTTGCCTTTTTAAAAATTTTTATTAGTAAAAAAAGTTTCTTTTATATAACTGAGTAATTTTTATGGGTCTTGAATTAATATGTAGCAATTACTCGCAGTAAAATAAGACATTTTTTGTGCATAAATCCACTGAAGTCACAGTGCATTCTTAACAAGTTAACTAATTAAGCAGTATATCAATGTTTCTTCGGCCAAAACTTCTTTTTTAAAATGGCAACACTAGGAATCATAGGCTGATAAACAATGACTTCTCGGTCTTCTGAGTGCACACAGAATCAACGCAGCTAGATCAACACTAGTTTTTTGATTACTCAACATCTTTGTTTGAAACGCCGCCTTAATTGACACATTCAGCAGTCATAAACAGCAAATTATGAAGACAGTTTACCTTCTGCTAATTCTGTACGTCTCCTAACACTGCCCTACAAAGTAATTTTTAATAATCAAACGTCATTTTTCACTTGACATTCTGCTTACAGCAATTGTATGCAAAATAGCAGCGATCCTCTTTTTTTTTATTTATCGAACTCGATAAATCACAATTTCTTATATAAGCTAATATAAAAGTAGAAAATAGAAATAAACGGTTCACTTTTTGGCACACAAATTTTTCAACAGACAACAATTATTCCTCCACGTGCTGGGTTCTAAGGTGGTCAGCGTATACAGACGTTTGAGGTGACTGCTGTTCTCCGCTTTCAAAACTCTTGCTGTCCCTCGATTTCCCAATTTCCGGATTAGTTGGCGTTCCTGCCGAACCAGCTTCTCGATTTGCGCTAGTCGAAACATCAGGCAATTTCAAAATGTTATTACAACATTTTGGAAATTCAGCAAATATAACTGCCTGAAAAACTAATATTTTTAAATAAAAGTAATGGAAAACTTATTTGTTTCATTTTCATTTCATTATTCTGATCTTTAGAGCGTTGAGAATAAAAAATTGTCAATTCTATTTCATCAAAAACAAATCCAAAAAGTTAATGAAGAGTCTACAGATAGAACCAAAAATCATACCACAAAATATCCAACAATTATTCCTAATCCACTGCCAAAGTATACATTGCTCAAAAAATGTTTATTGTCGTGTATTCTTGTACAACCAATAAATGTTGCCAATGAAAATGTACCAAAATGAATAAGAGGTAGAATGACTGAGGAATTGAAACGTTGTTTTAAACGTGTTTGCAAATAAAACTGAAAAAAAAAAAACCCAGTATGGAATATAACTTGTTGCTTTCCTCAAAAGATGACAAAAATAGTAGCAGATAAATGACGACGACTAATAAAAAAAAGAATAATTACAAAATACGCCTCTTATAAGTACGACAAGAGCGTTTATTACGCTTTGCAAAAAAGTTAGAATTTTTTTGTGCAATCACAAACAGTTGAACAGTAGTTCCTTCAAAGTTTTGTAAAACGATAATAGTCAACCATAAGTAATTTCATACTTTTATTTTTAGGGAAGTGCTTCTCATTGTGATTTTTGGATTGAAAATTAAGACAAAAACATTGCCTAAACTATTGATGTCAAACATATCTGTCAAAATGTTGGTGTTTTTAAGCAAGTATTGGTAAAATTGTAACTTAAACTTAGAGACCTTTGAATTCAGAAAGACTCATTTTATCAAAAACAGTGCTCAAGAGATTCACGATGAATCATAAAAAATATTACTTTGTGTGTCAAAAAGTAACAGTCTATTGATGTTGTGCTAAAAGATGTGCATCATACAAACTTGAAAAGTAGCTTACAAAGGAATATGTGGCCGCATAAAAAGAGTAAGCAGCATGACCGGAGCAAAATGACAATCTTGCGTCCAAGACTCTATTTTTGTTTTGGTTGCTACAGTTGTACTCCCTTACATAAAAATCAGGTGCTGTACAGTTTGAGAGATCCTGAAACTGTGAAGAATGAACATGTTAACGAATGCTGTGCATCTACTTTTCTCCGGAAGTTCCACTTTAATGTAATAATCTGTAAAAAAAATAATTTTTTGAAGATCTGTAGAATGAATAACTTACTTTATCGGGTTGACATACAGATATAAAATTTGGTCTAAGTTGTCCAGTAGTATACTTAGCTATATCGCATATTATCCTATTAGATATTGCACCAAAAGCAAAAAATCCTTAAGAAAAAGAACATATTAAGAATATAATTATTTTTTAATGCGAAATATAAAAATCTCCTAGCAGTTTTAGTAATATTTAATGATCACACAAAAGCATCCAGCTCCCCATTAAATTAGAGCACCACAAATAAGTAAATGAATGTTTAAAAGATCAGTCGATGACAAACTTTTTATTAATTAATCAACAAGAAAATTTTTTAGTTACTGTTTCAATGTCAAAAAAGTTAGTAGTTTTATGGAAAAAAGAAAACCTAAATTATCTTTTTGATTTACCTATGAAGTAGTATAGCCTGACAACCAATCGATGGACCTTGTAACGTCCTACACCATAGGGTTCATAAACAACATATTTTTCCCATACAAAGCAGCTGTAAATTTCAATGCCGATAATCTGCAAAGAAAAATTTACATAGCTGGATTATACAACCAACTTTCCTGCTTTAAAACCAACGTTTCCGATTCGTTCTATGTCAGCATGTTACTCAGCTCGGTATCACCTGTATTCGGTATTTCACACTTCACCACCAACTGTAATTTTTTTGGAATATTTTACTTGATCAGCAAACTGATCCTAGGTTACAGAGTAAAAAACAGAGATAAAAGCTAATAAAAACAAAGACTTTAAAACTTCCTTCTCGAATCAAATATCATAATCTCTATTTTACGTGGCTGAGCATCCCAGTTTTGAGCTACCCGATAGTAGACTTAAGAAAATTTTAAAAAACCAAAATTTTAAGGGATAACTGACAACGATATGAACAACAGAAGTAACAATAAGATGAAAATAAAATAAAACAAGAGAAATAAATTGTTAAGCGTCTGTACTCGAATCAGAGGTGTAGAGATAATCTGTTCTAGAAGACCTAAATAGTTGCCCACTCAAGTATCAACAACCGTAGAGAAATTCATAAGTTGCAAACTCAATTGCCTAATCAAACGTTAGGCTAAAAAATACAGCTACTGACAAACTGAAAAGAATTGCAACAATTAAAAAAATTTGTTCATAAATAATAATTTGTTTTAAGTTACAAAAATATCATTCTTAACAGATGTTACTTAGCCATAAACTGACATTGGTAACAGATTTGATTCTCTCACTAGTACCAGTATTGATTAACCTTTTTATTTTAAAAAGGAGAACGGAAATTTACTGTGCTATGACGTCTGCAAAATCCAATAAAATTATAACACAAATTTTAAAATTTTCTACCAATTTTGCATTGATAAAAACTATTTTCACGTCATCAATTGTCATTTTTTATTTGAAATGGCTAATGTGTAACAAATAGCTTAGGAAGCTGATGCTTGTTTTGAATTCTATCCCGATTCTGCTAATAAGAAGGATTTTGAAAAAAATTTGGAGTATCAAACTGTCTTATGTCTCAAAATGTTGCCGAATTTCCAGCGCTGTTCCATTAACAGAACTGTTTATACCCTAAAATTTTCTAGATGTCGCCCTTCTAAACTGGCGACTACAATGGCACAATAATAACAAATCGTGAAATATTGATTGTTAAAAAAAAAAAAAAAGAGAGGTCAACATTACTAATCGGTAGTACTTATTCTTAAGTAAACAGCACTAAGAATACTGGTGTTACAGTTACTCAGAAAAATGGTTTGCTTCTGAATAAATGTTCAAATAAACTTCAATTAGTGTCGTAAATGAAGGCAAGCCAAATTCCGCTTTCTTCATACTCTTTTCATACTCATATTTTTTAACGGTTATTATTCAATAATCGCAAAAAAAGAGGATTATATATTGACTAATTTTCAAATAATTCAAGTTTTTTGTCAAAATAGGTTTAATGCAAAAAATACAGCTGGTATGACGACTTTATTTTGGACTTACAAAATCTAGTGCTGAGAGGTAAGTAGGAAAGCAAAATCCGGTTAAAATTGGTTATAATATCGTCAGACACAGTTGTAAAGTGAACGTAATAGTGCAATAATATCTCGACCAAAATCAAAAAACAAAAATAAACTGTAGTAGATGGTCAAAACTGTCTTATTTATTATAGATATTTATTATAGATATGAAGTGGTACTGGTCTACTGATTCATTTTTAATAAATGACAATACACCTATTGTTGTTCTAATCGTTGCAGTTCATTCACATTTTCATCTTGGTCACCAAATTTCCGTTAATTTCGCTTGGTAGATAATTATTAAGAAGAAATAGTACGAAAAATCAAATTAACGAATAAGCTTCATAAAGAAACATTACCACAACAACTGGAAGAAAGCTGCTGACGAAGTGAAGAGCTAGTGGTGGAACAGTGGAATCATGATATGGATGAAAAATGCTTAGATCGTTGCAGAAGAAACCGTTACGTGTTGGCGTAATAACAGTTTTAAAGAGTGTAGCAAAGATCACTGAAAATGACGAACTTTACAGCCAAAAAATTTCAGTAAAAAAATTAGAGTAAATAGTAGATGAAAAGAAATGCTGTTGCCAACAGACACCGGTTTTAAGGTAAACCTTACATACTGTTCTTCAATTATCAAAGGTATGACGGTAAAGTCTAGCAAAAAATGCAATCTTACTAACCCGTAGTACATTAAAAAAAAAAAAGAGAAGCATTTCTATTTTCCACAAGTAAACTAAACAGCGAAAAATAGAGCTGAACTCTTCTATGAACTTCAGATTTTAGTTATGACAAAGGAAAAAGTCACAAATCAATAAAGTACGTTGTTGGCTAGCATAAACGGCAACTTTGTACCGTTCAATAAATGATTACTTAGCTGATTCTTAAACAATACCTACAATGGTCTTTTTTTCTCTGTCATTTTATTTTATTGTTATCATTTTTTTTTTTCATTTCTCGTATTCAAGTAATAAAAAATACCACTAAATTATTCCAATAAAAAAAAAAAAAAAAAAATGGTAACAAAACTGGAACAAATCAAAATCTTTCAGTAAAGCGGTATGCACGTGGTGCTTATGATAAAGTGAAGCAACTTACCCAACAGCAATAATACGAACAGGTCGCTGCCGATTCTAACTGGGTTGATTTGCGTCATTCAAATCCAACAGAACAGCAGAGTCTTGGTAATGATGAGTTGTAAAAAGACAACAATTTTAGAACACTTATGTTGAAGTGTCTAAAGCATAGATGATGTTTTTGTCAGTGACATTGATCAACACTTAGTTTATTGCATAAAAGAAGAAACTCTGATAACGGTAACTTCCCGTAGGTATGGTTTCTGAATCCTCGTTGCGCCAACAATGACGCTGTCAGTTTATGCAGGGATTGTTGTACTGCGACTCGGTGAACAGTCAACGCCAATGCAACTATCAATTTCAAACACCCTCCATCATTTTCTCTACTTCTCTACTATTAACCTTACGTTATCTTTTCTTTTCCTGTATACGACTTTATCCTTCACATCGTTAAAAAAAATAGAAAAAAAATGCTGATGATAACATTGTC